CGGGGCGGGGAGGCGAGGGGAGGCTCGGGGAGTCCGGGCCCCTCCGGAGGGGGCCGCGGGCTCAGGGCGGCGGAGGCCGGGAAGAGGGGCGCGGGTGGAGGCGCTTGGATGTGGGGAGTTCCCTCAGAGGGGCGCGGAGTCCGGCCGGAAAGTGCGACTCAAGGCGCCGAAAGGGCCAGGAAGGGGGCCGGGGAGGGGCCTGTCGCCCCAACTGAAAGGCACAGTCACCTGCAAAGGAGGAGCCGTGAGCGGAAGCAGAACGAGGACCTCACGGACACCCTGGAGCGCTCCACTGCGGGCTCGGCGTCTTGACGTCACCGCCGGCGCGCGCAGGGCACGTCGGAAGTTGGCCCCGGAAGGCCAGGGGAGGTACCCTGAGGGTGCGTCGGAAGCAGACGGGGTCAGTTCGCTGTCTCACCTCCGCTGAGGATGGGCTTGGTTTTCAGCCAAAAAAGAAGGTGTTGGCACCCTCATCTTGGCTTCAAAAAACTATTGCCAATCATAAAGGACCAGAGCTCCTGAAAGAAATGGGTGGCTATAACGGGCAGCTAAATTAGGTTGAACTATTATTATAGGCAGTAAGACAGCTAGACCCCACAAAGAAGTCAGTGCAGAAGGTGAGGCTTCAAAAAACTTTTGCCAAACATAAAGGACCAGAGCTCCTGAAAGAAATGGGAGGCTATAGTAGGCAGCTAAATTAGATTGAAGTATCATTATAGGCAGTAAGACAGCTAGAACCCCCAAAGAAGTCAGTGCAGAAGGTGAGAACACATTACAACTGTGGCTGGAGGTGCATTTGTTAAAGGCCAAGCCTCAAGACAAACATGGAATGACTACACCTACATACCTCACTGAGGGATAAACAATAATGATTGGTAATCTAAGCATCAGTCTTGGGTGGAGGGACTGAGCCCCTTCTACGAAAGATCTTTGGTCTTTCCATTCACGCTTGCTACATTACTTGCTTCCCCATTGAATCTATACTACCTAAGCCACGGTAATCTTATTGGATTATCATAGTTTTGTCCCACCTTATATCCACCTCATGATTTCGTATCCACCTTGTCATCCTGTTCTAAAAAGCCTCCCCTATAAGTGGGGTCTGCAGCAACCCACTCAGGACCCCCTCCTGCCTCTCAGGAGCTATATCTCACACTCAATAAATATTTCCTGGGGCTGGGGATTTAGCTCAGCGGCACAGCACCTGCCTGGCAAGCGCAAGGTCATGAGTTAGGTTCCCGGTACTGGAACCCCCCCAAAAAAAAAAAAAAATATTTCCTACTCTTAACCTCCATGGTTCCTTACAATTCATTCTTTGATTTTGAGCAACATAAACTCAGACTATTGGACTTCTAGCAAGTTGAAAGTTATACTTCCCTCATATCATTTGGAGTCCCTGTATCATTCCTATATCAATAGGACTGGAGCACAGAAAACACAAGCTGAGCCTAGAAAATCTCATGTGGCCTGAAATTAAGAAGCATTCAAAAAAGTGAAAGGGTGTATCAAAAAAACATGGGTGTCATCAGCCTGAAAGAAAGCCCAGGGGCCAAACCAGGATGTTAACAATAAAATAAATTACATACCTGGGTATAAAATATTTGTACTGATACAAATAAGTGATTGAAGGAATTTTAAATAAATGAAAAGGGATAAATATTCCCTACAAAGGAATTATAATTATTAATACCCCATCAAGAACATTGTGTGTAACCCCTAAGTATGGACTGTGCATAGTGACTTTGAAAGAGTACAGTGTAGAAAGGAGTTGAGGGGAAATAACCTTACACTAAGAAACTTTACACACTGCCTCAACCAGATACTCAAGATTAGTGTCAACAATGAGTCCACATGTTGATTGTGCTTACCACTGATATGGTATAATGAAAACAGCACTTTTCTTGTGGTCTTCATCCCAAGAAACCATAACCACAGTCTAACTAATAAAAAAACCATCAAACAAATTCCACTTCAATCCTTCTCATTAACTATCAAGTTCATCAGAAAGAAGAAAAGACCTGAGAAACTGTTCTATGATGTGTGATTGCCAAATGAGTTCCTGAGGTAGAATAAAGGATGTGTCTGAAAAAAACGTAAACTGTAAGTAAAGTTTTGAGCTTGTCTTGGTTACTTTTCTCTCATTGCTGAGACAAAACACCCAATGCCCAAAATTAAGGAAGGAGAGGTTTGTTTAGCTCACAATTTGTGGAGGTTTCAGTCCATACTTGGCTGGCTCCAAGGCAGAGTGGCACATGGCAGAGGGCAACCGTTCATGGTGGTGGAAGACAGCAAAACAACAAGTGCAAACGGGAGGAGTGGCAGAGAGCAAGCCTCTTTCCCTCCCTGATATGGTAAGCAGTCTGTACTCACCCAGGGGGCATGTAGCACTCACATCATCTCCATGCCCTCCTCTTGCACAGGCTCAGGATGAATACAAAGTAGCACCCTGGATCCCTGCTGAATCACCTAGTTAACCTTCTAAACTTCTCAAATTGACACAATGAACAGAATCTGAGAAGGATAAGGACACGTCCTTTTCACCCCAGGATGCAGAACTGCTGAGTCACTCAGCCAAACCTCTAGACTCCCCAAGTTGACACAATGTATCAACTATAACAGAACTAGTAGTTCTGGAAAATGTACCATGGTTGTGTAAAATGATAGTATTTGGAGAAATTAGGTGAACAATGTACTATCTTTTCCGTAAGTCTAAAATATTTATAAATGAAAAGTTTATTTGAACTAAAAGATGATGAAGGGGGAAAGGAATGTTACTTTTCCTTATTGCTAGACTTTTAAGGTTCTTTAACCCCTGTGGGATCTCTTGGGATGAGGTAGTAATACTGCCTCTAAGGGGACTTAACAGAATCTCCTGAAAGCCCTACTCCTGGGGCAATGACAATGTTTTTGTACATTGATACAAATGGCATGTACAAGTTTGGAAGTACAAATTTATCAAACTGGACACATATTTGTTCATTTTTCTGTATATAAATTAAATAAAACAAAACACTGGGGCAGTCCTGTTGTTTTTGTTCTTCAAAATCCTAACCTCTGCAGGTAAGGTCCCTGTTTTAATCCAGCTCCTCTCTGGGGCAAGAAATGCAGGACAAGGAGTCCTACCATGCCTGCCACCTGACATTTTGCAAAATAACGTGGCTTACTTAACACAGGAATCCAGAGAGTGGCACCATTTGGAAATCTTCCTGATTGACTCATGAATGAGCTCAGGCAAAGTGCCTGATACAGCTCTGAGTAAGCTAACAGCCTAGGCCTGTCCTCACTAATACTTGCCTCTCCTCACTAGTGCTGGTGGGATCTTTTTAGGGTTTGAATATAGAGTACCCAATTGTCTTCAAGTGTTGGGACTGTAAATGATTTATTCTCCTTCTTGCCTTTCTGCATTTACCAAGTTTTCTTTAATGACTGTATATCACTTAAGCATAAGAAAATGTATTTAAATTGAGTTTGGTTGAGATATAGTTAGAGACTAGCACAGGGACAGAAGACAAGAAAATCCCAGCACTTTTACCTTGTTACTCATTAAAAGCATGATTTGTTTCTTCTTAGGCTGTCAAGAACTTAGAGATTGGACTTACAGACGTCCAATAGATAACTGTTCTTATTTAGATCTACAATGTCCCCCAAAACTTTCATGTGTTGAGAAGCAAGGCTTTGGAAGGTGATTGGATCATCAAGGTGCTAATGTCATCAGTGGGTTGATTAATCCACTGACGCTGCTTAGCTGAATGTGTTATTAGGAGGTAGGCCTGGTTGAAAGAGCCAGATGACTATGGGTGTGACCTGGAAGTGTCTATTACCTTCTTGGGCTCCTTTCTTCCCTCTCTGCTTCCTGGCTGCCAGGTTGTGAACAGCTTTCCTCCACCAGATCTTTCCACCATGCCCTTCATGCCTTGGAGCGACAAACTGAGCTGAATCCTTTACATACTCTAGGCCAAAATAAGCCTTTCTTTTAAATTGTTGGTGTCAGGTATTTTGTCCCAGCAATGAGAAAATGACTAAGATAGTAACTAATATTTTTTTATTTTATTTTAAAGAGTAAAAGAAGGATAACATAATAATAGGGGGGGGGACTTAGCAAATTACAGACAAAATGGTAGGAAATTATCAATGGTTATCGTTTTACATGTTGTTATCTACAAAATAGTTTCTCAGGAAAACAAATAGACAAATAATAGTGAGTTACAGACAAAAGAGGTAGGAGATTATCAAGAGTTGTTGTGCTATACTTTGGTATCTTCAAAGTGGCTTCTAAAGAAAATAAATAGAGCTATACATGAGTGACCTATTGAAAAATCATTAACTATTCTCAATGGTTGTTGTAGGAAACACATAATAAACATACATCCATTTATGAAATAGGATAGGAACATTACAAACTTTACACAGTTATGGACAGATTAGTAGGAAAATATCAATGGCTGCTGTAATACGTGGTGGTATCTTCAGAGTGGTTTCTCAGGAAGACAGAGATATGCAAGAGGGACCTATTAAGGAATTACAGCCTAAGGGTTGTCAAAAATAGCATATTACCTCCTCACCAGTGACTCCTTTCACTGAGGTATGACGGCTGGAAGGAAGGCCAGGATTGAAAAGAAGGACCGAGAGACTTGCACCTGTGTTTTTTGTTTGTTTGTTTGTTTCTGTTTTTTTTTTTCTGGTACCAGGAATCGAACTCACAACCTGTGCTTGCCAGGCAGGCACTTTGCCGCTGAGCTAAATCCCTAGCCCCAACTAAGATAGTAACTAAAAGCAGGACAAAGCTTGGCATCTCTGCCTTCATTTCATATGTCTCCTTTATTACCTTAAAACTTTAGAGCAGATCCCTGCTCAGCTGTGCATATAGGCATGCTAATCACTTAGGTATTGCCTGTAAAAGTTTTATTAGCCCCAAATTTGCTTAATCTATCTCATCCCTCTTCAAGACGAGGACACCAAGGTAAGAGTAACTAAAATCATTTTCAGCATTTGCAAGAACACCCAATTGACAACTTTCACAATATCCAGTTACAGGGCTCCCGGGAGTAAAGCCTAGGTATCTCCATTTCTACAATAACCGGGGTTCCAGGAAAAGCAGAGACTGGCCAATCTCCCTATGATGAGGTCATCTCTCCCCAAAAGAAGAACAATTATCCCTTGACATGAACACAAGGCAGCCCCCTTCAGAGCAATGATAATCATCTCATGGGAAACAAATTGCCCCTAGAGCCATAAGGAGTCCTCTGGTGCCCTGGAAAGCCAAACTGAGATAATGATCAATCAGAACCTAGCCCACCTCAGCCGGTCCTTAAAAGCTAGCCTCCCTCATGCTTTTGTGTGTGGGCCAGTCTGAACCCCTGCATCAGAATGAGTCCCCTCAAGTTACTCTGGCTGGAGTCCTTTCACTAATCTCCTTTACTTCTTAACTGTGCTGAATAAGCCTGCCCCTTTATGACTCTGACATTTTCTAAAATTATCGTTTCTGTGATAAGAATCAGGAATTTACTCAGTAGATCAAGTTGAGGGCTTCATGTCCTCTCTGGGAGACTTCCTCAGACTCTATCTAGTGTCCGTTTAAGAAAGTGTTTCAGGAGGTGGAGTCCTAGGTGTACTATGATAAAATTTCTGGCTGAGTAAAATTGATGTTCTATCCAATTTCTCTAACGAAAAGAGTCCAGAAGGAAGAAGGTGGACTTCATGTAAGAACACATCCTTTCTACCCTGTATCTGTCTGTATTGACTGCATAGTCTCTCATCTCCGCCTGAGAGAGGACACTCAGCTGCCACACCAGGATGTCCCACCCATCAGTCATCCTGCCTCCACGGCCCTGAATTCAGTGGAAACAAATTACCTGAAGATTAGCCCCACTTCCTGGTTTACTTCAAATATCAGTATGGCTTTTTTTTTTATTAAAAAAAAACCCAAAAAGTGATAGATTCTTATAGTTAAAAAAGAAACTCCAAATAGGGTATACCACATCCTATATAATTTGGAATGAGATTCTTACAAATAATAGAAGGTAATGAAACTCCTTTGTACTTCTAGCTTCCTGTACCTTTTCAAGGGGACTCATAGATTACCAAGTTTCCTCTTTTATTCAGTCCTCTGGACTACCTCAAGGGATTTGGGGGAATATAGGGAAGTAACTCAGGGGTGCTCTACTACTGAGCTACATCCCTAGCACTTCTTTTGTTTGACGTCTTACTAAGTTGTCTAGGCTGGGCTTCAACTTGCCATCCTTCTGCCTTAGCTTCCTGAGTGCTGGGATTGCAGGTATGTGCCATCAATCATGGCCTTAAGAAATTTTTTATAGACATAAAAGTAGCAAAAGTGGCACTTAGGGTGGAGTAGTAGGGCTTCAGGTGCTCCACAGTCTTCATCACTGCCACAAGTCTCTCCCAAGTAGAAGTGCAGTTCTAGGGAGAAAAGAACATGAATTCAAACTGATGTGCAGTCCAACACGGAACTAGCGAACCCAAGCTACTGGCTGCCGCCCCCTTTTTTTTCTGTAAGGAATTTAGTGAGCTAACTCTTGATGGAAACAATAAGTTTTTGCATGTCTAAACTTGACTTCATCTTGCCCTCAACAACTATAGAGAAGCTGCCGTGGCTCACATGTGGTTTGTCCCTACCTAAACTCATGTTGATACTTCATTCCCAACTTAAGTGTATTGAAAGGCAGTGGGGCCATTTAAGGTGATTAAATCCTTAGGAGGCATCAGTGTCTTTCCCACAGGAGTGAGCGCTCACTCTTCTGGGACTGAGTTAGTTAGCACAAGAGGGGATTGTTATAAAGGAGACTGTTTTGTCTCCACTTACAAGCACTCACTTGTCCTCTGCTCTCTGCCTTTAGTTGAAGCAGCACTAAGCCTCACTGATGTTATGATTTGGGACATCTAGTCTCTAGAACCACAGTCCAAATAATTTGCTTTCCTTTATAAATTATTAATTCCCAGATATTCTATTGTATCAGCAGAAAATAGACTGAGACAGGAGCCTTAGCTTTCTTCAATGGAAGCCATTTGTTTTCAGAAGAGCAGATACAGTTTTGACCCTGTAAACCTGAAGTCAGGTTGAGGGTGTGGCTGTGTGAGGTCCTGAGCACCATCCCCTGCACCACACAGAAGTAAAGGCATAAAGCTGCACATGCACATCAGAGTATGGAAATGAGGTGGGGCATAGCTGTGGCACAGGAAGCCTTAACATTAATGTTCCTGTTTGCAGGCCTATCTCACACCCCTCTTCTCACCTGCTATGCCACCCACGCTCCGACCATCTGCTCAGTTTACTCTGCTACATATTAGTTGTTGAACATCTATTATGTTTCACAGAAGTCCAAAAAGGTACAAAAGTGCTTCTTGGTCTCTCATTTCAGATCCAAAACCTCCAACCCTATTGCTTTCTATCATGCCCAACCATCTCAAAATGGCCAGTTAACTAATGGTACCATTAACTTGTTTTCCAGGATTATAAAAGGTCAGTTTTTCTTTTCTTTTTCTTTCTTTCTTTCTTTCTTTTTTTTTTTTTAAAGGACCACCTTTTATTTTACCTTAATGATGTCTCCAAAGGGAAGAGAAGTAAATCTTTATGCTCAATCAATCCAATGTGTTAAACCAAAACAGCGTTTATTTGTAGTCTCAAAAACTTCACCCTGTTAGATGGTGAACAGAAATTGAGGATGATTTCCTATTAAGCCATCATTTTATACAATAAACTCAAGCAGATTAACAAGGAAACACTAAGCCAAAGACAATTTACAAGGAGGTGTAAAACATGGAAACAGTTGTGAGATACAATTTCAAACTGACATGACTGGCAAAAATTAAAAAGTCTATATCAAGTATGACAAATATGAAGTTATTAGAACTCATATCTTACTGGAGATACTGAAGATAGTGCAGGTTGGTGAAACCACTTTGGGTAGCACTTGTATACTACCTGATAAGCTCTTTCTTTCTTTTTTTCTAGTGGTAGGGGTCAAGCTCAGGACTTTCCACATACTATGTAAATACTCTACCATTGGGCCGCATCCCCAGTCCAACGTAATAGGCTTTGTTTGTCTTGTTTTTTTGAGACAAGGTCTCACCGTGCAGTCTAGGGTGACCTCAAACTCATGGCAATTCTCCTGCCTCAGCACTCAGATGCTGGAATTACAGGCATGCTGCGCGGTCCTTTGCATCTGCTGTGGATATGCTGTGCAGCTGTGTATTACCAGACTTCTTTTCTCCCTTCTGATCGGCGTCACCTTGGAAACATGAAATCAGCCATGGTAAAAACATTTACCCCATGGAATGCATCATATAATACTAATCAGGGTTGAGGGCCTTTTGGTTTTCTAGACTTAAAAATATAATGGAGAAAATATTAACAATGCAGATTAAACTTACAAATGAGTGGTGTTTGTGGTCTTGTTGCAAATAGCACACAAATTTAGCACAAAAATTGTTTGGAAGAAGAGTTCCCTTCCATAAGAACATCAAGAATCTGGCTCTCTGGCATCTTTTCTTTCCTTGGGAGAGTCTGTAGCCCACTAGGACCTGCTTCTGGCCCACCAGGTCTCATTCACCCTGATAATAAAAACTTACATAAATACTAAACCTAATAGCATATTAGAAATAAGTTTCTATTGAGCTATGGATCCAATATGGTACAAAATAGAAATATCTTATTGCTAATTTGATTTAAAAACTATTAAATTGATATACTAATACACAAAAATACAGAATTATGTCACCTCAACATCAATTTTCAAAAATGAACACTAGGGATATATTATCAGTGATGTACTTATTTAAGAATGCACTACCAATAAACACTACATTTATACATTAGGACATGTTATTCAGATAGTGTACTTTCTGAATAATTCTACAAAGAATTAATTTACGCCACGTTCTTCATATTATTTCTATAGGTTTATACTATATAATTTTTACAAAACTTTGAAAATTACAAATGAGAACTGCCGGATGTTGTTCACATTCATAAAGGTTTGATCCAGTATGTACTGTTACCTATAGGCCAACTGAAGTCTTTTGTACATTTCGTCTATAAAGACGATATTCTTTATTATTATTTTTTGTTTGTTTTTTTTCAGTACCGCAAATCGAACTCACGACCTTGCATTTGCCAGGCAGGCGCTGTGCCGCTGAGCTAAATCCCCAGCCCCTAAGACAGTATTCTTCAATGAAGTCTTATTCTTTGCTTTTTCTCTCCCCTCCCATTGAATGGTCTACTTTGGAGATAGTTCCATTTTGGCATGTAGAAAGGTTCTTTATTTCTTTTCATTTTATTTTTATTTTTGAGTTACAAAGTATTGTACTATTTGATAAGCCAGAGTTTTATTCAGTCATTTCACTATTGAGAGACAGACACGAGGGTTATTTACAGCGTTTTGCTACTACTGTATAAACAGTGCTGCAACAAATAAGTGTGAATTCATTTCATTCATACATCTACATTTGGCTTCTACTGGGGGTGGTGGTGGTGGCACATACCTGTAATCCTGACAGTCTGGGCTGAGGCAGGAGTATCTCTAGTGCTAGCCCAGCTGGACAAGTTAATGACTTCTTTTCTTTTTTCTTTCTTTCTTTCTTTCTTTCTTTCTTTCTTTCTTTCTTTCTTTCTTTCTTTCTTTCTTTCTTTTCTCTTTCCCCCTCTCCCTTCCTTTTCTCTCTCTCTCACTTTTTAGAACCACAAATCAAACTCAGGGCCTCACACTTGCCAGGTAAGCCCTGTCCCACTGTGCTATACTCCCCCTGTCCCCCCGCAACCCAAAATTTAAATAAAAACTTAAGAAAGAGCTGGGAATGTAGCTCAGTGTGAGGCCCTGGTTCAATCCACCAATCCGACAGTTCCTGGCAGATATTATTGCTTTTCATGTTTCTTAACTTCCCCCACATATAAATTAGTTTCAGTTTATCTAGCTAAAACTAATTACTGATAATTTATTGGAATTTTATTGAATTCATGAATGAATTTAAGGAACATTGATCTCTTTCTGATTTTAAATCTACTAATCCAAAATGATGTTTTCCTCCATATATTTAAGTATTTCTTCATGGCCTTTACTGGTTACTTAAAATTTTATTAATGTAGAACTTTCTATACTAATTTTTTTAGAACTTTCACAATTTTCATAAAAATTTGCTAGGTATAACTATTAAAATTAAAAATAGATTTAACATAAATATATATCAATACAACTACAAATATAAAAATATGAATATAAAAATATGTATAATATATTTAATAGTATATAATAAATATAACAAGCATATTTACTTTCCCTATAAATAACCCTGCATAAAATGTATCATCTTTTCCTTATCTATACTGTTATTTAGATACATTATAGCTACTGATTCTTTTGTGTATCATTTTGAAGTTTTCTTCATACTCAGTTCTCTTATTGTTTGGTAGGATTTCGACTCATCCCACCTCTTTGGAGTTTATGCTTAAATCAGAAATCCTTAGGTTGTGTGAAGATGCATATTTGGGGGCTTGTTGTTACTCAGCATTTCCTAATTACTATATCGACAGATAACTTTAAAAATGTTTTAAAAAGGCTTTCAACATGGTAGTATAAATCAGGTGTAGTGGTGCACGCCTGCAATCCCAGCACTTGGGAGGTTGAGGCAGGAGGATCACTGCAAGTTTGAGGCCAGCCTGGGCTACGAAGTGAGTTCAAGGCCAGCTTGAACTGCATAGTGAAATCCTGTCTCAAAAAGGAAAGAAAAAGAAGAGGAAAAAAGATGCAAGTATATAAGAATAAAATTCCAAGGGAGGAGTGGACTGGAGATGGGAATTCAAAGTGTTACAGAAAACAGAACAAACACAGAAAGAAACGGCACCAAGGTGTAGGAGGCAGTTTATTTACACCAGTGAGCTTGACTGGCATTACTCTCAGAGTTGGCACTGCCCGGCAGGGCTTTGGGGCTTTTATAGGGAGGGCCAGCGGGGGGGGGGGGGGGGTAGGTACAAAGACAGATTTGGTGCATTATGATTGGAGGGTTGGGTGACATCATGGGTTGCTAGGGAGTTTAAATATCTCAAGTTACATTGCAAGGCCATCAACTAAACAAGCATGAATTACACAAAGGAAGAAGTGTCCCCTTATATTTGAAGTTATATTGCAAGGCCTTCAGTTACACAAAGGCAGTAAAGACAAGGGGTTTATGTGAAGGAGCGTTCTGTTATAGAGCCTGCTGGCCATGTCCACTTGGTCTTGGCCAGCATCCTGGGCAGACTTTTATTTAAAATTTTAGATTTCCCCTATCACAAGGAAAAAAAGAATGATAGAATTTTCTACTATTATACAGTTATTTACATATTTCTGAGATGGTTAACAGTGGCAGTCAACTCACTAACACGTCTGTGTAACAATGAAAATGTTTACAAGTATAATGTCCTAAATTTATTCAAAGGCATCAACATTTATAGTGCTCTAACGACAGGTTGAGCATCCTAATCTTTTTTTTTTTTTTTTTTTTTTTTTTAGTACCGCGAATCGAACTCATGACTTCAGGCTTGCCAGGTAAACGCTGATGCCGCTGAGCTATCTCCCCAGCCCCAAGCGTCCTAATCTCAAATCTAAATCCAGGATGCTCCAAACTCCGGAATTTCTGAGCAACAGCATGACGACAGAAGTGGAAAATTCCACACCATAGAACTAGTATAAGAACAAAATTATTTTTAAAATTGTATAAAGTACCTTCATTTTATGTGTACACGAAGCAAATTTATTTTGTTTTAAACTTGGTTCTCATCCCCAAGATAGCTTATTATGTACATGCAAAAACATGCCAATTCCAAAATACTTCTATTCCCAAACATTTCGGATGCGGTATGTGCGACCTGTGTCCTGCCCCGCACTGAGCCGGGACAGATGCGGCCGGCGGCGCCGCCAGATCCTCAGCGTCGCTGGGGCGGAGCTCAGGCCCCGGCGGGCGCGTGGAGAAGGCAGCGGCCCCAGTCCGGCCCACCGCCGGGGTGCACAGTCCGTCAGCGCCGGGCGCCCTTGGTCTCTGCAAGAGTGGGCGTGGGGAGACCTGGCTAACCGCGCCCACAGGCGACAGCGCCCCCCAACCAGAAGCCCAAGCTGAAGCCGAGGGCCGGGACTGCGCTCTCAGCGCCCGCGCGTGCGGGCCCGGCGCCTCGTGAGCGCGCACGCCGTATCACGTGCCCGTGCCGCCGCGCGCCGGGCGGAAGTGAGGTGAGCCGCCCGGCGGTGGCGCAGCGTTAGCGGAGCGCGGGCTGCGGTGAGGCAGGCCGGGCTGAGCGGACGAG